GAGGCGGTTGGTGTTGTGGTGGGGCGGGCGGGGATGGTATCTGTGTGACAGTAGTTGTGGCGTGCTGTGAGGTAGCAACGCTTCCTGGTGACGTTCTGCAGATGACGCCGTAGAAGAGTGTGGTTGAGCGCCCGGTGTTGAAACTAGTGCTGAGATGGGTGGTGTTGGGGGAGGAGCGGTGGTTGTGGTTGGGGTTGTGTGACAGCCTGGGGATGAGGAGCAATCTGCTGGTGAGTGGGTGGAATGTAGGTCGTGTGATGTGTGGGTGGCAGGTGGGAACTGGGGGGCAATGTGGTGGTACTGTCTAATGAGGGGAGTGTATCGGTTGCCACGCTGCTGTGGGATGAAATGGTGGAAGTTGTGCTGAGCGTGTTGGTGGCACAGTGGGCCGGTGGTAGGTTGGTTGTGCGTGAGATGGGAAGTGTTGCCAGGGATAAGACATGGTTGAAATAATCGCTGCAGGGTTTGAACAACTATGGTGAAACCAAGCGAAAGCTTTCCGAGTCAACAAGCTTCGAGCAAGAAAGTCTGCGTCAAGAAGAGGCCCAAAAAATGGACTTTACTGTAAAATTCTCTCCTTTGTAGGAGTAAGGACTCAGTAGCGGCGCCCCATTGGGGTTCACACAGCTTACCACAGTGGGAAGAAGCTGCGAGACACACTTGAGAAGAGTGCTCCATGGAGCTGAGGAGTTCGCTGTGTGCATTAGCCCTGTATGATTAGTTACTGCATTACCCGATTAGAGCGCTGGAACCTAAACCTGAAAACTGCCCTGCTCGCAACGGAAAGGTGATGAAGTCAGCCGGAACAGTCTATATAGTTTGAAAACACAGCTGCGACACGAGAATCAAAGGTACAAGTGGTTGATCGGACCACTCGTCCACCGAAATGCCATAGCTTCGTTGGACTGGATAGGCGAATCGGCTCCAGTCCCCCTGCTTGAAAATCACGGTACGGTAAAATAGATAAAGTAGATAATAAAGGGTAGTGTCCTTGGAGACGGGAGGTGGCACACTCTGACATTGGTTTTCAGTTAACTCAGTTCCCAAGTCGAGAAGGAAGGTGAGGAAAACGCAAGGTGAAAAGGTCAGCGCAACTGAACTGTTTAACAAATTGTTCACTTGTCGGCAGTTCACGAAACGCGCAGCAGCTGAAAGTGGCGGAAGGAAAATGGTTTGTGGGAAGTATCATGAACCACCATGGAATCAAAAGAGGAGGATTGGACAGCTTGTACAAAAGTTTTCGCAGGTACACACGGGTGATCAATCCGTGCTTCCCACTCCAAGGCATGGCTTCGTTGCACTGAGTTTGCCAAGGGGTGCTCAGTGCCCCTGCTGAAAAAACTTCAAAAAGCAAACGGTGAGGTGGAACCCTTAGGTACAGGGGTTGACACACACCTATGGATATGCATACGGAACTGATAGCGGTGCCACACGCCGGCCTAGGGTACCATTTCCTAAGAGTTCCAGTAAGGACCATCGGGGCCTGGGGGTCTTCAAGAGGAACGGAGGCCAAAGTCTCAAGTCGACGACGAAGCGACAGGGTGACGACGGTCGTACTTGTCTGCCGAGTGAGGTTCTTGGCTTAGCCTCATGCCATTCAGAAAGGAAGGAAAATCGTACGCCAGACTGATCAGGTCTGGTATCACGACGACATGGATGGGTCTTCGTTGGCTCGTGCCATCCATGTGTCCACGAGCCCCCTGCTGAGTAAAAACAATTCAAAAGAATCCCTATGACTACAAGGGGCACACAAACACACGCCTTTTCGAGGGGAGGCGTAAAGCTAAGGTGAGGGCCAATGTGCACGTGTGCGCGCACAAGACCAAAGAATGAAGACATGACAGGAGGACGAGACGGGACAAAGGTGCGTGTGGTTGAAATGAAAGGGGAACCAAGTGCACAGGGACAACCGATGAAGCCCACCTCATTGTAAAGACCTGGGCGACCTGAAACCTGTGTTTAAAGGTATGTAGAAGTGCACGTACACACTAAGGCCGGGACCAATGTGCACGCAAACGAAGAAAAGGATGAGATGAACAGACATGAAGACAGGAGGACATGAAAGAAAAGAGGAAACAAAAGTGTGTGAAGGGGAAGGGATGAAAGGGGAACCAAATGGAGGGGACGAGAACCGATGAAACCAAACCTCATTAGAAGCACCTAGGGACCTGCCTCGTTTGAGTGTAAGCGCTGTGTGTGCACCTGAGGTTGGGACAGGTTCCAATGAACCTTGAACAAACTTCGGCCGTTGCGGCCACGTACGGCATGCCCGAGGGCGGCCACCTCTGACCGCTACGGTCACGTAAAGGCATAAGCCAACTTGGAATTCCAAAGATGAGACAAACATCCCAATTCTTGAGGCATAAGCCATCTACGCTCGCTGTGAGCTGCTCTGTATCCAGGCAGGGGATACGTTCGACAAACCCCCCGTTCGACGGGTCCACGGGAGGCACTCTGCGGGCTCATCCCGGGTTGGCGCGAGGCCAAACACACTTATGGATATGCGTACGGAACTGATAGCGGTGCCACACGCCGGCCTAGGGTACCATTTCCTAAGAGTTCCAGTAAGGGCCATCGGGGCCTGGGGGTCTTCAAGAGGAACGGAGGCCAAAGTCTCAAGTCGACGACGAAGCGACAGGGTGACGACGGTCTGCCGAGTGAGGTTCTTGGCTTAGCCTCATGCCATTCAGAAAGGAAGGAAAATCGCAGGTATGCCAGACTGATCAGGTCTGGTATCACGACGACATGGATGGGTCTTCGTTGGCTCGTGCCATCCATGTGTCCACGAGCCCCCTTCTGAGTAAAAACAACTCCAAAGAATCCCTATGACTACAAGGGGCACACACACACACACACTTACACTTCATCATATCACAAACTGCCACAGTACGCTTCATCAGGTGAAACTGTACTTGCAATCTCAAGGCCCTGGTGCGATGGGTTTTTTGCGCAATTGCGCCACACCAACCTCATGGCACACTGGTTGTTCGAGGTTGCGTGTCGCCGACCAATCAAAGATGCCCCAGTTGAGAACACTCCCAACACTTTTCGTTCCTACATGTTCAGTGGTTGAGGCACCGATGATGATGCTGCGTCCTATGCAGCAGGCATGGGTGGAGAAGGCTTGCTTCAGGACTGACAGCAAACCTATCCAGGAAATGAACGCCATCAGACAAACAAACTGCTTTTGGAAGGAACAAGAAGTCCTTGGACAAGAGTCCTGGTTTGCGACCTTTTTTCACTTGAACAGTTCCCAGCATTACCTTGCACGTGTGCGTGCTGGCTACCTAGTCAGAGAAGCTCCAGACAACTTGTTTCTTTGTACGAATGCATGCCCTGCGACCTCGCAGCAAGTTGATCCTGTTGTGTACTGAGGCGTGGAACAAGGCTGGAGCGTCCTCGTGGTCTTCATGGTCCATGTTTCGAGTGCTGTGGACGACCAAGAGCGTTGATGTTCCAACAATAAGATGTAAGTTCACGGCATGTTTCATCTATTATATGTGCATTTTGAGTGTGATGTTCAAGGTCGGCATGCGCTGATGGGGCACGTCACGATGGAGAGGTGATATGTCTAGTTTCGGTAGGACCAGGACCAAAAGGTAACTTTGAAGAGACAGCGGAAACAAGATAGAAAAACGAGAAGAACGATGTTGTGTGAGGCATGTGATGATGGGAACATGCTTGATGGTGATGGTTGTGGTTCATCTTGCTTGGTCGAGCTCGGCTGGATTTGCGAGGCTAGTTGGGAACGAGTTGGTACTGATTGAGAACCATTAGAATGTGTGGACCTTTGAGTCATGAGTCATGAGTCAGTTGCACTTGGGCAGGAAGAACCACAGGGCTTATATGCAGATGGCTGGGGTCGTGGACCTTCCAAGCATACCTCTCAGGTTGGCAATGTCTACCATGGATTTTAGCTGCAACCTGGTCGTTTTGAATTCTTGGAGCAATTAGGTCATATTGTCTTAAAATAATTCTAAGTGGTGTGGCATCACGTTTTCTGAGCTAACTGACAAGGAAAAGCGAAACGCGGGGAGAGAGAGAGAGAGAGAGAGAGCGCTCTTACCAAGACAGTACAGGCTGGAATGCAATTAGCAGAATTCCTCAGGCCTATCCAATCCTTTTCGAGAGCCTTTGACGATCTCTTTTCTGCGCCCCTGACACCCGGAAGCTCCGAAACTGTTCTAATGTTAAGTTTCCCTAAACAAAATTAAACGTTCTCACTTCTCGTAGGATTCGTCTATCGCAAGTTTTCACCTGGAAGCTCCACAACTCCAAGTCTTGTTTGCAACTTTCCGGCGCCAGAGCTGCTGGCACCAGACTTGCCCTCCAATTGAATTAATTGAGAATCTTAAATGGGCTGGCTGCCCTTTGCCATTCCAAGACGTGGCTGGCTGCCCTGTATTGTTATTTCTTGTCCCTACCTCCCTGCATCAGGATTAGATAATTTGCGCGCTTGCTGCCTTCCTTAGATGTGGTCGCTGTTTCTCGTTGCCATGGTAGGCCAATACCCTACCGTCGAAAGTTGATAGGTCAGAAAATTGAATGATGCATCGCCGGCAGAGAGCTGCGGGATTCGTCAAGTTATTGTAAATCACCACATGAGCAGGTGGAGCCTGTGTTGGTTCTGTAGCTAATAAGCACAATCTTGTCTAGTCTAGCCTTCCTCCTTTTGCATTGGGATCCGTTTGGCGGGACAAGCGAGTCCATTAATTTGTAATCCCATGAGCCTTTTTGTCCAAAATGCTATTTGGAGGCTATGCCATTTATGCTGGAGTAGTCTTCCTTTGTGCGGAAACTTAGGTGTCGGGCGGCTGGTATGGATGGAATTCGGGTCGGTGACGAAGAGTGCGACGACTGCAACCTGCAGGCACAATTGTACAAGTGCGTTCAAGCGTGCTTGTGTCATATGACAAAATCAATTCGAGAGACCCATCGGCAAGCCGTTTCTTTGAACAGTTTGAACATCCGGAATGCCAGTCAGCAGAAGGCAGAGCCAAGTGGCAAGCAAACCCGAACCGCTTTGGTAAAAGAAGGCAATCTAAATGATTAGAAATGATGCAGTCTAGATCAACATGGTGGACCATCCTTGCAATCCAACAAACAACATAAAATCACACATGGATGATCGCCGCGCTTGGTTTCTTGACCTGTGCCATGATCAAGTCCAAGCTCGTAGACAAACTCTTTGACGGCCCGATTGACATTGTTGGAGACATCCATGGAGCAATTTGGTGCAGTTGGACACTTTGGAAACCTTTTCTTTGGTTGAGGTCCAGTGGCAAAACCATTCTTTCCCCATCTCAAACACCTGTCAGTCTTTCAGTGAGCTTCAGAGCTCTAGGAGTGTGGTGCTCTTGTCAGCTTGCTTGACCGCCTCGGCTATGATGGCAATGGGAACCACAAGGAGGGCCGGCGATTGGTCGCCTGGTAGATTTGGCTTAAAAAGCTTTGTCGAATGTTTTTGTTCGTGCCTTGATCCTTGATTGTGAAGATTTAAGAAGCATTGTTTTTAGAATAGTTGTGAAAAAATGCTTTGCAGCTTCAGGTTTTCATTGGAGCGGCTTGCCTGAAACTTTACTTCCAATCCCACTCGGACTTGCAATGTGGGCGATCGAACTGCCAACATTTCAGGAAGTTTGGCGGCCACAGGCCATAAGCCAAACTTTTTCAAACTAAGGACCTCGTAGACCGCGGGCCCGATTCACCTGGTGTTGTTCGTTTGGTGCGACGCCTGGTGCAGTTGGGAAAGGCTCACAATCGAATCATTCAGGGAGGAGACTCTTATGACCCTTCTGGACACAAAATTCCTGCCCAGATTCAAAACTATGGGAGCCGCGGCCCATAGTTTTTAAAATAGAGAACCTGTAAGTCTCAATTCAGGCTAGATTTGAATCCAGAAAGCTACAATGCAGTATTCTGGACCCAGGTCCGTAGCTTCAAAGGGCAATGTGCAGAAACATTTGGATGTGGTACAGGATCTTCTGAATCTGGCTTTGGAGGCCCAATGCATTCTGGGAAATCATGAACTCAACATTTTGCGCGGAGAGCACAAGCATGGAAATCACTGGTTCTTTGGCGAGCCTGAAATTATCCGGAAGGACGCGGCACGCGTTTGTTGGTCGAACAAATTAAAGCGACAATCTTCGAAGGATAAAGAGGCGAAGAGCTTCCAAGTGTTGGCAGATGAAGAGATGAGGGCAGAGGCCAGAAGAAGAGATAGTCTTTGGCAGTTAGGTTTTGGATCCCATATATACAAGGCTGGTCAAGGTTTGAGCATTTCGTGCTTTCGTGCATCACGATGTTTGGGGGTGATCTTTTGCGTGCCCTATTGACGCGCAAACATTGAAGCCCAGCTGCGTCCTTGAGAGTAGATCATGACGGGCTAGGAGAGATCAGGATAGGATATACGACAAGTAAGTAGATACAAGTGTGAATTTTCCCAGTTGTTGGTATCTTGTGTACAGCCGAGTTCTGTCCATGGTACATTCCGCTGCCATTTGGGTTTACAGGGCCCTTGAGCTTACCTGCGCTTACGCCTGCGTGAAAACGCCGTTGGACGTCGCGGTCGGGACCAATTTCACATTGGTAGCGGAGCAGGTTCGGGTTCGTCCCACTGCATCCATCAACCCCTAAATCCGCCGATCCAGGATTCGTTCGTGCATTCGCGCCGAGAATTTGCAACCAAATGTTCTTGAAATTGCCCGTTGAGGCCTGACAGACAGGAAATGTCGGTCGCAGGACTTCGCTTTAATCCCGACAAGAGTTCAGCAGGCGGTACTCATTTGGAGACCAAATCTGGTTCGTACATCTACTATGGTGATGCCGCATTGTTTCATGACTGGGAATTTCGCACCCGCCTTCGCATTCGCTTGTGGAAAGAAGGCAGCAAACACACGAGCAATTCCAGAAAGAGTACACCAGCGACAACAGCAAAGAGGAGTGACATGCCCAATGGAGGTACTGATGAGGACGCTGAGCTCCCAGGTTTCCCTCCTGTCAAACCAGAAGATGAAGAAGAGGAAGTAGTCGTCGCCAAGCCAGACATCAGCCCGCTCGTGAACAAGATTCTTGAAGGCTTGCGTGGAGATGCCTTTTTGCTCGCCAGGGACGTTGGTCTTGATGCCCTGACCAGTGAGGAAGGATTGGAAGACCTATTGCAAAAGATGAAGGCTTTCGTTTTCCCACGTGCTAATGAGGAGGCGAAGGATTTGTTCCGTGCTGGCCAGAAGCTCGGAGGTCCTTTGTCGCGTTAGTTTGGAGAGTCCATGCCCATGCTGTCGTACACCAACCGACGCAAGCGTTGGTGGTCTGTGCTGCAGGAATTGGATTCGACCATGATGCTGAGTGACAGTCTTCGTGCCGAACTGTTGCTCGATCCTTGTGACCAAAGCATGCGCCACTCCCAAGAACTTTGAAGGATATTGCAAGGTTCTCGTTGACCACTACTCAGGAGTTCACCTCAGAGAAGGTGGCAAGACATGGCAAGGCCGCTCTTCACCCAACAGGGAAGGGCAAGAGCTATTCGAACCATTCAGGAAAAGGCAAATCATATCGTTCTGCATATGTCTCATACCCTGAAGTGGATGAGCGTTCGTCGTCAACGTGGGAAACCACGGAGGAAACATTTGAGACCAACTTCGATGAAGGCGACGCCCACGCCTGGTTGGGAGATGGATTTGATGAAGAGGAAGCAGTGCAGGAGCAAGAGTTGGATTACCTTGAAGATGAAGAAGAAGCAATTGCCTTGAACGCAATGTTGGACCTTGACGAGGCCGACGATCGTCAAGCAGGAGAAGCTATCCAGCTTCAGCTCGCTGCGTTCAATGCATTCAGCAAGGCAAAATTTTAGGCAAGGGCAAAGGTTTTGGCAAGAAAGGATTCAAAGGTAAGGGCAAAGGCAAGGTTGTCCGCAGCCAGATGAGCATTGAGCAACGCCGTGCCAAGCTTCGTGACCTGAAGGCCAAGTCCAAGTGTCTTCGCTGTGGAGGCATGGGACATTGAGCAGGTGACCTGGTTGCAAGTTTGCGGACAAGCCACAACCCCCGAAGCCTACTGCCAACCTAGCTTATGAGAGTGAATCGTCAGACGATGAAGAAGGGTTTGTTTAATTATGTAGGTGCAGCCACTTCTACTGAGCCGACCAACGCTGCCATGATGGCTTTTCGATCAGGAACAGCCGGTAAGGGTTCACGTCCCCGTCCGTCGCCAGCACAGTCGTCCATGGTCCGAGTCCGAGCAAACGATGCCACTTCGTCCGACTCAGGCACCCGAGTGACTCCGTCGTCGGTCGAGCGCCCCATGGGTTCCCGGAATCCAGCAGTATGCGCAACGGGTTGACCAGTTCTTTGAGTTCAGGGGTGGAGAGATTTACCTTCGTGATGAACCTGTTCAACCGCCCCCTGCTTTGCTCGGTAGCGTGTCAGAACTGCCAGGAGTTTTCGTTCCGAGGGAGCGCGGGATACACAATTCGTCGCGCCTGTTTGCGTTGTGGGCATTCATCCACCGAGAAAAGGGAAGAGAAACCCCAGTTCAAGCTTGAAGATTGTCCGCGTGAATCCACCGATAACAGGGAATCAAGCCGTTTGACTCATCGCGCGTGGTGCAAGCAATGTTGTTCGTTCATTGATGAACTGCCAATGGAACTACGCCGTGAGCGAGTTGCCTTGGCAAAAGCTGTTGAGTCAACAGCCCAAGACAAGGTTAGCATCATTGAAGCCATCGCCCGAGATGACCAAGATGTTTTCACCCCAGAAACAACGGTAGGTAGAATCTTTGCTCGTCGTCGCCTGACGCCCTGACTCAGACTCGACTTCATGAACTACTGCAAGAAGCCGCATTCCAAGACCAGATCTTGTTGGAGCAGGACCCAATCGGTGATGAGATTGCCTGGGGCCTTCGGGACCCCGAACACATCGGTTATTCGTGTTCCATTCGGAAGTGCATTCGAGCATGAGCAATGGTTTGGTGTACCCTCAACAAGAAACTAGAGACATGTGGTGCGAGAGTGACCCCAACATCTATGCCATTTTGGACGAGGGTTGCAAGTAGCGCCTGCCATTCGCTATACTGGATGGAGAAAGCAGAAGCCAAATTCAAGCAATTGGGTTATGAAGTAGGCTGGGCATCGAAAGAGGGCAAGGTTTTCTCAGGTCTTGGGAGTCAAGGCAACAAGACCCAAGGTTGCAGGGTTTTGCCATTTTCGTTGAACATGCAAGACAACCAAGACCCCGTCCGAGGAATCCTTGAGTCCCATCAGCTCCAAGAGGCTGAGGGTAGATCGCCGATGCTTTTGTCGCTGCACGCGCAGTCCCACTTAGGCCTTGTGAAGGACTTGGCAAAGGGCACCATTCATATTGAAGGTCGCCAACTCCGATCGATGCCACCCGGAATTTCCATAGTGCGCCGAAGTGTCATCGAAAGTTTCGCTGTTGCTACATGGCTCGAAATGTTGCATCGATTTCCCCAGACCGTGGGTTGGGTAACGATCCTGAAGTTGCCATGAACGAGTATGAAGAAGCGTTCATCCTCCACAGACCAAAGGAGCACAAGGATGCGCAGACTGCAATCGATCTTGCGCAACAAGTGTGTTGATTGTGAGCAAAGGAGGCCGGTACGAACAGCCATTGAGGATTGATCTCAGGAAGCTGAATGATCCTGCTAGAGAAAAGTCCATGGCCGCTCACATTGGAACGCATCCCCGAGTTCTTGGAGCACTTCTGGAACATGACGAAATGAAAGCTCATCTTCGGAACGCGCGTGATTTTGTCGAGAAATACGCCAAGGATGGCGGCTGCGTCGTTGAATTTGGCTGTAACGGCGGTCGCCGCGGATCAGTTGGAGGAGCATCTTGTCTTTTGGCCATAGCAGTTGAGCTTGGATATAGCGTGACGCTTGTCCACTACTCGTCGGAACATTGGAGCCACATGCGCTGTGGCGGCGCATGCCGCGAGTGTCAGGACGTGGCCGCTGGACTTGATCTTTGCAAGCGACGTGGATGGGTGCAGATGGCCGCACTGCCACTTGCTGCGCCAGCTGAGCGGCATACTACTTCCCGAAGAGGACCTCCGCCGCCGCCGCCGCCGTCAGAAGAGCCTGATCGTGAAGCTCCGAAGCCTTCGACATCAAAGGTGACCCCAAGAGCTGCCCGCTACAGTCGAGGATCTCAGTCCGAGAGGTCCCACGATACAGAGCGATCCATGAGGACGCGTGACTCGACAGATGAGCGTGGAGATGAGCCAGCGCCATCCACTATCCAAGGCCGTCCTGCCGAAGATGATCGTGATTGAAGGAGTTGACAGCTACGGTTGAGAAGCTTGCAAGTGTCATTGAGCACATGTCCAAGTCGCAGAAGCCAGAGTCTGTTGAACTCAAGCCAAAACAGAGATCGCGATCGCGAAGAAGCCGTGATAGCAGGAGCAATTCGAGGACCCCGCGCCGGAGCCGTCGACCTCGATCACGCAGTCGACGTGATTCGAGATCTCGAAGAAGGTCACTATCTCGAAGGAAGTCGCTACCTCGAAGGAAGTCACCATCCCCAAATTAAAAGGAGCCCAGTGAAGATTGTGCCAAGCATTCTGCCGGACATCGTAGTTTGCCTCCACTTCCAAGTGCACCTTCCAAGCCTTCGAGACCGATAGGAGCAGCACCATGCATGGCAAGATGTTCGACCAGGTCGTCGCAGTCATGCAGCAAAGTATGAGCGCTCTGATAGAGAATGGGATTGGAGTGAGCGTGAATGGAAAGATGATAGCAAAAGGGTCGACAAGGGCTTTGTTGAGCCTTCGTGGAAGCAACGTGCCAGGCCGCATTCGCCGCAGAGCGCACCACAGAGTACGCCGCCGGCGACTCCTTTGAGGAAGACATCTATGTCTCACAATCCTCTTGAAGACATCCTGCAAGAACCCATTGTGAAGGAGATCAAGGCGTGCATGGATCAGGCTGGATCAAGTCAATCTGGTCTTTGGGCTGGCAAAAACTATCCACAGGTGGCAGTGAGAGTTCACTATGCAAGCGCTTCGTTTGGCCGGAGTGCACATCTTGATGAACTTGTTGCCCTAGCTCGTCGCCACAAAAACCATGATCGTATTTTCTGGGTTGCAGATGAAGAATCACCATCTCTGTGCGATGGAGAAGATCACCAAGGTGTTCGTGTGAACATTCGCATCAAGGGTGGATGCCATACCACCTATGTGTCGTACAACAA